CCCCCCACCCCCCACCTCCAGGGCTTGATCTCTGCCAGGGGCAGAAAAGAAAACAGCGAATTATTACAAAAACATCCCCAGTTTGGAGCAGGGAGCATAAGCTCCGATACACTCGATTTTGACATCAATTAAGTGTGTAACCAGACATGTGCACGTGGCTTTGGAGGGTCTCGCGTCGCCCAGGGTGCTTCTCCAGAAAGGGCTGCCCGCTCGCGCTCTACCCGCAGCTCAGCGCAGCTGATCCGGAAGACAGTCTCTGCTCAGTGTCTCCACCCGCCCCCCCCCCCAGCAATTATACTCCTCCACTGAAATCTAAATTTTCCATACTGCTGCCTGCTACTAATAAAAGCCGTCTACCTTGCACTATTAAACAGTCGAATCGCACTACATGCCGTTTTTATTGGTAGTGACTGTAGCAAATTAAAATGCCTACGCAGAGACATTAACACTTACGCTCTGCATTGTTATCGGGATATATAAACTCCGTTTCGCTTTAAAGCTCTCTGATTTTTTTATATATGTATATAAAATCACTTTCCCTTTTCTTAAAGTTGGCTTGGGCTTCTTTTCTAAAAACTCAATCGAAAGAACAGGCTGCAAGTGTTGGGGCTCAACGCGATGGCTGGGCGCGCGGCCGCCTGTGAGGGTGGCCTGGAATCCTGCAGCAGCCTCTCGGGTCACCGCGGGGAGCGCCCGGGCCCCACGGCCTCCGCTTTCGGGGAGCAGGACCCGGATGCTCCGCTCACGGGCGAGGAGGCCGTTCAGGCCTGTGGAGCGCCGGGTCCGGATGGACACTGGGCCTCTTGTCACTTTCGGTTGCCCTCGTCACTGGGATGGGAGAGAAAGGGCCGGCGCTCAGGCCAACCGGGTGTGTGTCCTGAAAGCGCGCTCACACGAACGATGGATCTGAGCAGTTCGGTTTCGGAGTTACGGTAGATTCCGCCCCCCTCCCACTTTGCCCCATGGTTGCATTAAAAAAAAGGGGGGGTTAACAGCGTCACGTTTCTGTTTCTTGTCCCCACAGTGGCCGATGCTTTTGGAAAGAGTCGGCGTGGACGCGCGTGTTTCCAGGAGCCCGCGGTTTCCTGGAGGCCGAGTTCCGGGAAACGGGGGCCTGGGGCTCTAGGTCCTCCTCGGAGAGCTGCGGCGGCGGAGAGCGAGGCGCCCTCCACTCCTTGACCGGGGCTCCCAGGAGAGGCGGGCAGGCCGAGCGGCGACGCGGCCCGAAGTCGTGCGCGCGGGCTGCGAGGGGGCGCTGTGGCCTGCGCGGCTGCCGCCTCGTCCCCGCCGCGGTGGGCCCGGCGCCGTCCCCGGCCACCGAGGGCGCCCCGGCCCGGCCTCCCCTAGGTCGGTTGCATTGGGGCAAACGGACAGCAACACTGGAGCGTTTGAATAAAGCCTAGCCGAACCCGGCCTCTCTCTCGTCCCGCCTTTTGCCCTGTCTTGGGAGTTTTTCAGAGTTGGGTGGGAAAAGAGGTACCATCGTGGAGCATGTGGATGTGCGGGGGGCGGGGGGGTGTCAATTAAGATTTTAAAAGACACGGTTTACGTGGTTCCTCCTCGTGCATTTCCGTGTGAGGTGGAAGTGGTTTCCATGCAGAGGGAACATGGGAACATGTCCCCTCTGGTGTCGCTCTTCCCCGGGGACTGCGGGACGAAACTGACCATCAGAAACTGACCAGAAGAGCCGCGAGTCCGGGTCTGCGTTTTCTTTTTTGGGAAACAGGAACACTTCGCTGTGAACTGTGCAGAGTTTAAGTCAAATGAAACGTGAATGCCTTCCAAGCGGGGTCGAGCCCGCTCGCGGGTCTCTGGACACTTTGGCCTTTCGAGGCTCTGACACGGTCTTCTGATGCGGCCACGTGTGTCTGCAAAACACCGCAGGAGGCGAGGCCCAAAAGGTCCCCGCCGCTCCAGTCAGGGAAGCCGGAGCGCGGACGCGTCCCCTGAGTTTCCACCTGCCCGAAGGCCTCAGGCCCCGCGGGCAGCGCCGCGTGAGGGGTCCCTGGACCGGAGAGCGCTCTTTTGCACGTTCTGGGCTCAGCCCGCGACCCGGTTCTAGCACCACGGCCCAGCCCCTGAGGTCGGAGGACTAGCAGACTGCGGGCCACTAACGTGTCCCTCTCGGTTTCGTTCAGCGGCCGCACACGGCCCATCCTCACCGCGGACGCCCCGCCTCCGACCCGCTTCCTGAAGTTTCTCCGGCGCCGCGGCCCAGGAATCAGCATCCTTCGCCTCTTTTCATCCCTTGCTCCTCTTCGCTCCGGCTCTTCCCTGCCCCCCGCGAACCCAGACCCGCAGCCGCTTTGAGCGAGCCGTGAGCGCGTCCCCGGGCCTAGGTTCCCGCCGGCGTCCGCGTCCCCGGCCGGTAGCGCCGAGCGGGGGTGTGCGGAGGGGTGGCGGTGCGCGCGCCGCGGACGGCATGGCGATCCCAGTGATCCGAGACCTTCTTCCGGAGCCGCCAAGACCGGAGCGCCCTCGTTCAGCGGTCGGCGATCGTTTGGAAGGACGAGCGCTCTGCCCTCCGCGTTCACGGCCGCGCGGCCCGGAGCCCCGACCCGCACACACGTGCGCGCGCACAGTCGCGCTGCCCGGGGAGGTCCGCTGCTCTAGGCAAGTGGAAACAGATGAGAGGTGTCCGTTTTTTTTTTTTTCTTCTTTTCTTTTAAATGTTTCTTCGAGACAGCCTTTGGAAGAACTTAGCTCACACTCACCCATCCCTCGCCCCCCACCCCCACCGACGCCCAGACTGTCCTCGGCCTCTCATTACTCGCTTTGCTTTCCCTGTTTTCCGCG